TATGTACCTTTAAGTAGACATTGTCTCTGCTTTCTGTTTTAAAATTTCAAGTTATTTTATGTAGATATAACCTGAAAGAGGTAGTTCATATATTTTTCTGAAATAAACATATTCTAGCAATTGCTCCACTGAAAGAATTTTTCCACCAAAGTATGATTATAAGACAATTTCATGGGTGTTCTGTCTATTGGAGACATGTTACCTGAGTTATGAGGTAGTAAGTTGAGAAGGATGGGAGACCTGATGTTACAATGCTATCTATTGTCAGAGCAGGCTCCTTTCCTTCCATGTCGCTTTTCTGATTTTCCTTTTCTCTTTTAAAATTGAATTTCATTGTATAGCCTCAGACTCTTGAATTTGCCATTCACTTGCCTCAGCTTCTCAAGTGTTGGGATTACAACTGTGCACCACCATCCCAGACTAAAAAATAATTTTAAAAGTGATAGAAGTCAATGTGAATATTTAAACCCCACTCATTTTATTTATTTTTAACTTCACTTGTTTAAAATTGGAATACTTGTGGCAAGTTTCTTCTCCATCCAAATTCTTGTTTTGGTTCTTCAGTTTGACCACTTTGGAAAGCAGTATGGAGGTTCCTCAAAAGACTCCACATAGAGCTCCCTTATGACCCAGCAATCCTACTTTTGGGCATTTACCCAAACGATCACAAACAAGGCCATACTAAGGCTACCAGCACAACTATGGTTCTTCAGTTTAATAATGTAACTTCAAGCTTAATTCAATCATTGAAGTCCTAATTTAATTTTTGAGAGCTGACTTCTAGAGTTAATAATACTGACATAATAAACAGAATTCTTTGCTGCAAGTTTCTTAGAGCCCTTGATGTTGGTGTGTATTGAGAGTCTCTTAATAGACAGTTCTCAAAACTATTTGACCTTACAGTTTCACTTTCATGGAATATTTGAGTTCTGTGTACTTAAGAAAAAATTATTCTATATTGTATTTTAATTTCTAATCTCTAAGGAAGCCCCCAAATTATGTTTCTAGAATTTGCTTAATTGCAAATCAAAGATAAGTTTTAAAATCACAATGTATTTTTTTTAAAAGACTATCAGTTATTAATAACATAAAGTCAATTGTTAATTGGGAAATAAAATGTGTCTTTACCTTCCAAATTTATGTTTACGGATGTTGAAGTCTTCACTGAAGTTCTTCACTGAGTTACTGAGCCTGTGTGTTTAGTATCTCTTCTGAAAGGTAACACTGATATCACTTTCACTGTATCAAAATTAATATCATGGTCCACTTATATAAGTTTGTAGTCATACGTGTTAGTCTTAGAGATTCTTTTAAGAACATAAGATAAAATAACCAGTGTGGTAGCCATTATGTTTGCAGGTGTAATTTCCTCAGTCTTTCTTGGACTGGATATTTTAAATATCTTCTTGCAACCCAAATCCACTGTGACTGTATTTGTTGTTGTTGTTGTTATTGCTTATTTGTTTAGTTGAACTCCAGGCCTGAGCCCTTGCTTGGCTTTTTCACTCAAGATAAAACTCTACCATCTGAGTCACACTTTAATTTCTGAGTTTTTGTTTGATAATCACAGAAAGGAGTCTTCGGGACTACTCTGCCAGGCTCACTTCAAAACAACACCCTAAATCACAGCCTCCTGAGTAGCTAGGATTACAGTCATGAGTCACTGAAGCCCAATTCTATGATTTTTGTATCTGTACTGTATCTGTACTCCTCTATTTATCCTAATTGTGACTTCTTACTTACTTTTTATCTATGCATATGGTTTTAGAATAAATTTTATTGCTCTTAAAGTTGACTTCTTAATTCAGAAAAAATTACATGAACATAACAAAATATACTCTTATTAAAGTCTTTCTCTCTGCATTCTATTCTCGTATCCTATTCTTTCTCCCTCCATTCCCCTTTATTCCTCCTTCCTTCCCTGTTTCCCTTCCCACTGCTTTCTCCCATCCTCCTTTCTTCTCCCTCTTTCTCCCCTTCCCTTTATCTTGTGAAGTTCCTTCAAACCCATTTAGAAGTCAGAGCTATGGTCATTGCTAACAAAGTTGATTGGAGCACATCTGAGAGTTTGTAAAAGAATCACATCTTTCTCCCCTGGCCTATACAATCGAGGTTCAAAATTCTACCCAGTAGTATCTAAATTGTGAGGCACAAAAAGTGTATTGCTGAATAATCACACAGATACTTATCTGTATATATATTTGGGCATCTGCAGACACATAAATATGGTCATTTTGGATAGGAGTCTGAAATCCCAATGAATAGCCAGGAATGTTGACCCTTTTGCTCCTTTAACTTACAGTTAAATCTTTTTTTCCCCAGTACTAGGAACAGAAGTCAAGGCTTCCCGCTTGCTAGGCAAGAACTATACCACTTGAGCCTTTCTGACCCACGTCTATAGTCTAACTCCTGGAAAGATTGTATTTATCTGTAAACTTCACCGTTGGTCCATTTGTGTTTCAATAGAGAGAGAATTTTTACATATTGATTAGAATTTTGATATTTCTGAATCTGTTTTAGAATGAAATTATAATCTTAATTTTCCCATAGGAATAACAAAAATGTTAACAGTGGGTTTATCTGAATAATCAGAGTACAGACAGTCATCATTACAGGACTCTTCAAAAAGTTTTTAATAATCTTGAGCCTGTCCCATTTTATAGTTAGGAAGAAGTTTTGATTTAAATGTCACTTGTATGGGAGGATTCTTATAAACTTTTAGAAAAAATTTCCCCCTACCCTTTTTTAAAAATTATTGCTGCTGCTGCTTTTTGAATCTGTGGGGATCTCATAGCTCAGAACTTAAATGAGTCACCACAAGTGATTTCCTTTGTCTGTTTGAGCTGTCTTAGCAAGCTGTAGGCTGGGTGACATAATCAATGGAATTTTGTGTTTTTTTTTCTCATAATTCTGAAGGCTGAGTCTGAGATAAAGATGTCAGCATGGATGGCTTCTGGTGTGGGCTGTTCTTGATTTGCAGTTAGCTACCTCCTGGCTGGGACCTTATATAGGAGAAAGAGAAATGGAGATAATTCTAGTGTGTTTTCTAGGAGCACTAATGTCATTATGAAGACCTGATCCCTATGACCTCATTTACTTTTAACTACTTCCCAGGCCCCATCTCCTAATAATACCACATAAATTTTGGGAAACAATTGTTTCAGTTTGTAACAGTGTTCCTACTTAAACTGACAGTATAAAAAGATTTCTAGAAATTACATTTCCAGAAATTGCATCTATAATTGAAAACCACTAGGAAACTATGCATAATAACATGAATGGTGGTTAACTCAGACTAGTAGCATTAAAGACATTTTACCTATTTTCTATAAAGTATATTGCTTTTATAACTGGGAAGAACACAACAGGTATTTTTTATCTTTTTTTGTTCTGTCCTGGGGCTTAAACTCAGGGCCTGGGTACTCTCTCTGATGGCTTGGACACTATCCTTGAGCTTTTTTGCTTAAGGCTAATGCTGTATCTTTTGAGCTACAGATCTACTTCTGGACATGCTGGCTTTGAACCACTATCCTCAGATTTCAGTTTTCTGAGTAGGCAAGTAGGTATTATTTTTGAAAGAAAATGAAACAGCCAAATGTAGCATTTCATAATCTTGAACATTTTCAATCCTTTAGTTTCACCTCCTTGTTCTTTTTTCCCTGAGAATTAATGAAATTGTCAAGTACATTTTGAATGTGTGGTTGTAGGTACAACATAGAGCACAGTAGATAGTTGTTACAATTCTTCTTCTTCTTCTTTTAAGTATGGTATGATGTTCATAATAGTAACTGTCACATGAGATATGCCTGTACTTGTAACAGAAAAATAAAACAATAGCAACAAAGTAGGAACAGACATAACAGTCATTTTCTTAAGAATTAATTATAGAGTAGCCTATTCATTGTATTTATTTTATGAATTTTTAGTTTTTAGGTTCTTAAAATCCCCTCACCCCCACATCCAGGACCCCATAAGAATTGGCTTATTTTCCTTAATATTCAGTAATAAATATAATGAAGTTTCCTTTAATCTTTGCAATGAAATCACAGGTACATGGCAACTGCTAGAAAAACTTAGTCACTCTTCAAAGGTTTCGTTACAAAGATTGATTTGAATCTAATTCCTAAGGCTGGGAAATGTTGCATTTGTGTGTGTGTGTGTGTGTGTGTGTGTGTGTGTACAAGTGCACGTGTGTGTGTTCCCTTCTCCTGTAAGAGCTTTCTCTTCTATACTTTCTGAAGCTTTGTTTCGTATTATACACTCTCTTGTCTGTCATTGAATGTTTTTTCTCAATTAATCCCACATCTGAATGTAATATTTCTAGTTTTTTAGGCCTGTAAATCAATAGGTTAGAAATGTCCTGCAAGGTAATCATGTTTTTTGTCACGTAGGGACTTGACTGCTCACAAAATAAATCATGATGTTGTGATATATTACTTCCAGTTGCTATACATTTTCAATATTTAGTGTATCGGTCATACTAAGTCAAGATTCAGTGATTTAATTTCACGTTTGTCTGTGTTTTAGATGAGAATCCTTTTCTCCATTAGTAGGTTTGGATTTCTTTCTCTCTTAGAGTCAAATTCCAAGCATGCCTTATAAACCCAGCTATAGAATGTATACATGAACAAACTATTTTTTGTGAATAAGTGAACTCAAAAATATAACTTGGTTAGCTATAATCTAAGCTACAAATTTGCCCATTAAAATAATGTTTAGTTTTGTTTTTAACACTTTAGATCACTTGTGTCACTATTATTTGTTAGTTTGGTTCTGGATATTAGTGAAACATATCTAGGTAACTGTAATGTATGGACACACAATTGACAGAGATTTCAAACAATTATCATTCAGATGGTCCCCAGAAGAGAAAACATAAGCCATTCTTAATTCAGGATTAGTCAGCACCAAAGTGAATCTATCTCTACCAAAGCTGCTTTCCTAAATATGATCTGAAAAGGCTGAAAAAAGTTTTCTTTTTCTTTGTTTTTTACCAACAGGACACAAAAATTGCTTCATTGGAGCGAAACATAAGGGACCTTGAGGATGAGATCCAGATGTTAAAAGCTAATGGTGTGTTGAATACTGAGGACCGTGAGGAAGAGATCAAACAAATAGAGGTTTACAAAAGTCACTCCAAGTTCATGAAGACAAAGGTATGCCCAGAGTTGCAGACTCTTACATCCTTGGCAGGACTAAAAAGTTATTATTTGCACACATGCTTGTTTCCAATGCCTACATTATCTTGTTAATGTAATATTATGAAATATATTGAAAAATAAAGGAGAATGTAGAAGATTAATTCAGAAATAAATATTTCAGAAAGGGGCCAGAGAAAACTTTTGGTGGAATTTCTGCTCACTGTGAGCTTCAGGCTCATCTGGTGAGTTTCTTTGGTTTTTTGTTGTCATGGGAATAGACATATTTTAATACTTTTTTTTCATTTTCAGTTATTCTAAGTTTGCTGTTTTTTTTAATTGCTATGTTGCCAGATTTATTGCCCATCTCTAGAAAGTGTTTGTCTCAAAATGTCCTGGTCTTATAAGTCAATGTAAATCATTTTAGTGGTATCAAGACACTGTAGTTTTAGCATAAGACGTAAGTAACTTTAAGTCTTAGTGTTCTCATTTACTCAAATTACCCAATCTTTATAAACCTTGCTTTCTTCATCCATAAATTGAGTCCCATCATAATTCTTCAGTGATTTGCTTTATTTAAAGCAGTTATGTGAGCTTTAAAATGCATTCAAGAAACATCAGGCATTGTTTATATTATTGTTATTAACATCAGTTGTTATGGAATAATTATAAAATATTATTTGAATAATTTGATCTATTGATTTATATTATAGTTGTTAGTTTTAAAGAATTAGCTTATATTTTCAAAATTCAAATTAGGTGCTTGAAATTGATTAGGTGGATGGAGCACCAAATATCTACTATTCTTGTGTGTAATAACATATTTATTATCAAATTATTAATTATAATTAATAATTAATGTTAAGTAAACATTAATTACTAGATTGGTAAGAAATCTCTTTTGAGACTTTTAGATGCTTTTGTTTACTTCTGTCTTAACTATTGCTCTTCTGAAAATAATCACCATATAAAGTTAATTTTTTTGCTTATTTTTCTCCCATATATTCTTTTTTTTTAATTTGAAAATGCTAAAAACAGGGGAGTTACATTTATATGTCAGGCAAAGAGCACATTTCCTTGTAGATAATGCCACCCTACCCAAGCTTTTTATCAATTTTTCTACCATTTATCCTTAAATATCATTTTTCTCCATTTTAGTAATGTTTCTGTATTAAATGATACAGCAGAGTTAGAGAAAAATAGGAGAGAACCGTTTACATGTTTTATCTCAGTTATTAAATATATTTATGCTCTATGCAGAAGTATCAAATTATGGACAGGAAATGATATTTAGTATTATAATATAATAATATCTAGTGTATGCATACATATGTGTACTTATTCAAAGGGAGAATAACCAAATACTGGGCTTCTGTCAACTTTCATTCTTTAGGTAGGCAGTGCTACTATACCAAAAATGTATATCAAAGATAAGAGATACCAGAAGTAAGCTGTGGAGTGGAGTTGGTTGTAACCATTTTCTTTCAGGGATTGCCACAGAATTTCAAATCAGTTTCGTGTACAATCTTCCATTCTGGTTTCCTTTTGGTAGTTCTTTCTTCTTAGAGAGTTGAGCTGAGGTGCAGCAAGTACAGTCTTTGGATGCGCCGATCACTTTGTGAATGCATACCATCGATACAACAGTGAGTGAACTCAACAAATTTGGGGGAAATTATTGTTCTAGAATCAGCCTCTCCTCCTCATGTTGTCATCCAACAACCAGAGGCCTGACAGATTGGCCAAGTTATTCTACAGCGGAAAGTACCATAAACATGGAAAACTCTACCCCCTTCATGTAGTTATCCAGGTGAAGAAAATAACTTCAGCAAGCAAGTCATAACAATTATTGACTCCATTTGTCTGACAGGTCATCAATCTTTGAGTAGATTTATCTAACACAATGGCTAGTTACTTTTCAAAAGTTCCAAAGGAGGTCAGGTCTGAAGAATGTTCAAGAAGCTCATGGTTCAGTGAGTGGAAACAGTGTGGCAGAAGACAAGCAGATTCTTGCATGGTGTTTCTGCCCTTCATGGCCTTGGAAACTGACCTATGTCCCTCAGCCATACTTTCTTTCTGACATACTTAAAGGGTAGATCTGGGGATTAAAAGATGATTAAATAAAATATTGCAGGTAAAGTATTAGCAAATAATAAAATGATAAAATGATTATTATGTTTAAACTGACTTATGTGAAAATGGGTTTTTAAGAAATAAAAATAAAAAATGAATTCTATTTCATAGATATCCCTTATAAGAAGATACACATTAGCTAAAAAGTGCTAGCAAGATTCAGTTTTTAAGTTTTCTCCCTTAAAAGAACATTCTTAATGGCTGAGCCCTAACATTTAGTTCTCATTCTTTAATGACTGAAAAATTCTCCTGCTTTGAGAGGCAATCGGGATTTCTTATTTAAGCCTAGAAATGCTGATTATTACAATATATAAAGCATGTAGATTAGAGGAGAAGAAAATATTTTTTTTGTCTGTCATGGGGCCTGAACTCTGGGCCTGTGTACTGTCCCTCAGCTCTTCAGCTTAAGACTAGCACTCTACCACTTGAGCCACAGTGCCACTCTTCCAGCTTTTTCTGCTTATGTGGTACTGAGGAATCAAACCCAGGCCCTCATGCATGCCAGGCTAGCACTCAACCACTGAGCCACCTTCCCAGCCCAGAAGAAAATATTTTAAGTAGCCATGGAGATGGTAATGCAGTCCCATTTTTATCTTGGACACCTGAAAAGTAGAGCCTCTTGAAAGTTGTATAAATTAAATAGAAGGGAAGATCTAAATTGTTCTTATAAATAGTATATCATTGTAACCAGGATATTACACCTTTGGGGAAGGTGGAAAATAGGTTGCAAAAACAAGAAGCAGATACTTAAAATCTCAGCTGTTGTTAAAGCAGAACAGTTGACGTGTTTGCAGGTAGAATTCTTAGCATTTAGGACATCTTTGGCCTGTGGATATTGTCCCTGAGATATGAGACTCTTGAAGACATCCTGATCTGTACAGCTCTTCCTTGTTGGAAAGTCCATTTTCTATCCCAACTCAAAGGTCTGAGAGGAATCAGACTGGAGAGCTGAGTCTAACAGGCTGTGGAAAGCATTTACTTTCAGGAACATTATTGAGCCTTTGAGAATGGAATGTACCATATAAATAATTGTTTTTCCAAGAATGATGGCATCCCTTTTCTGTACAAGGCTTTGTTCCTAGCCTAACACATTTTTCATCTACTGATCCCAGTATTTCTATATTAGCTGCTCCCTCTGTTTTTCATGTTTGCCAAAGACGCCACTCTGCTGTCTTAGATCTCTCTGTCTTTATTCTGAATTTGTAACACATTTTCTTATAAACCCTGATGGCTTACAAACCTCATACCCCAAACTGCATAATAATAAGCATATCACTTTCTAGACATGAGAGTTGTATCTGCAGTGAAAAAGAAGCTGTTTTCCTTGGCAGAGTGGTTTTGTCAGGGTGTTGGTTGTGTCCCAGACATCAGTGGGGGGAGAATTTTCAGACAGGATGAGGTGTGCCTGAAGTCCACATGGACTTCATACGAAGCATGTGATGTAATTCATTGGGCTGTTCTTTTGTCCATTAAAGGTACAGACCTTCCCAGGCCTCTGCTTTTCATGGAGGTTCAATTGCATCACTTTTCATTTTTTATTGAGTTTATGGCCATTAAAAAAAAGCAAAAAATGCATATTTTAATGGAAGAATACAGCTTTATCCTCTGTAACTGTATTCTCCTTAGAGAAGCCTTTTCTGTGGTATGAATAAATATTTATTTAAAAATTTACCTTGGATTAGAAAATTGTTGAATGAGAACAGGGAACAACCTAAGCTCTCTCCCAAGAAGCATGGTTTTAAGGTTCCATCAGGCATTCCACATCTAGAGAGTCACATCAAGTAAGCTAAAATTATACAGAGATAGACAACAAAAAAGAAGATTATGGACTGATTGTATAAGAAGACAGAAACCAGTGTGCCACTAACAGTGTCAGCGTTAGTGGTAGCAGTGGCTATGCCTCAGAATTTGCCCAAAGCTTCACTGTGGAATTTAAAGGGCCTGAACAGGAAAAAGTGGAAGCCCACAGCTGAGCCATCCACCATCAGATGCAGAGAAAATTCATCACAATAGGGATGGTTCAGAGCATCACCAAGGGAAATGTGAATACTTCACAAGAGACATCTCCTTCAACACCTGGATGGAAGCCTCTTACCATCCCCAATAAGAATACTATTTATGAAAGTGGAAAAGAAGCTGCCAAAGCACCTGGATGGAAACATTTGCAGAAGAAATGTCTCCATTTTTGGAAAGAGCAAAGAAATCTGATACTCTTGCACCACCCTTCTTTGGTGGCAACTCAAAGCCCACTCATTGGGAGGCTTCTTCAGTGAGCAAGCAGGCATTGCAGTCAGGCCTTTGGCCAGAAGAGCACCTTGGAATTACAAAATCAAAAGTCTCTAAAATATCACTGACATCCCCCCCTCCCCCCAAAAAAACCAGACAGTTCTTAAAAGCTGAGTGTGTTTCTAGGCCATACTGAGTGTAGGAATCCAGGGGCTAGCCTCCCTTCCATATCTACAAATGCTACAGATTCCAGATATACCACAGCTCCACCCACACTCAAGCACTCTACAGTTAAGAGCCTACCTGTGAACTAAAGTGCCACACCCCTCATTGCTGCCTCCTATACAGCAGGAGGAGAGTTATACTGACTCCAATTTCGTAAGGCAGAAAGTTCTTCTGACTACTCAAACAAACTAATTAGAGAATTCATCTTTGCTCTTTGATTCATAAGTAAGCTACAGACAGGGTTCAAAAACCTAGTTATTTCTTACTGAGAATGGGAATCTAGGTAACAGCTACACCCACAGGTCAAAAAGGCTTCAGAATTCCACCACCACCCAAGCCTCTGGATGTATCCTACCTATGAAAAAGGAACTCCACTTCCTGGTGCCACCCATATATTGGCTACAAAAGACAGTTGCAGATCTCAGTAACTAAAACAG